GTCTTTCCAAATATGATAGTTACTACCATTTAAACACACCATTTTGCTCATATTTGCCTCCATCATTCAAAACGACAATCAACAATAACCAATGCTCTGATACCACTTTGTTGGGAAAGACAAGGCACTAACAAAGAATGCCTGACAGGATAACAGCGGAAAAATACCCAAGTCTATACTTTCCCTTCTCGATTTGAACCAAGAGAAGACAAACAACCACAAGCAATATGATAGTAAGGCAGCAAGTAATTCAACCAAACAAATATAACAAGACAATAATAAACCAATCACATAAGACACCAAGATTTACGTGGAAAATCCTTCGATGTGAAGAGTAAAAAACCACGGGACCAACAACTTCACTATAATCACCAAGAGTTACAATATTGTTCTCCAAAATTGGCCACAAAAAAAGTGCCAAACAACGAGCAACAACAAAATAAGGTTGCACCAAATCTAGAGAATTAAAGGAGCAAAATCACCAATTTCGCAGCTACTATTTACGACAGCTAACTGAAGCTGCAGACCACCAAATCCAACTCTGTCAGTTCCTAATCAAAGATTGAGATAAAGATAATATGCTGTCCAAAAATAAGCTCAATCGAACAAGAAACAAAGCGGGAATCGCAATTTGAAGTTGGCTGTTAGAGCTAAATTTTGACTGCGAAAACTGCTCTCTTTCTCTCTTTTTGGCTGCTGAAAAAACTCTCTGTGTTTATGAAAATAAGACCTAAATAGGCTTATATTTGCCTCTAATAATGGGCCTATGGGCAAAAATGGGTTGGTCCAAATTGGGCTTTTATTTATCCACATAGGAAGGGAAAAAGACCCATAACCCAACAATGACATTCACAACACCACTTGGAGAAGAGACAAACAATAAGGTTGAAATAGAGGCAACCATCGTTGGTTTGAATTGGGCACTCGAACTTGGATATAGAAACATAATATTGGAGCTTGATTCCCAATTAGTTGTACATTGGATCTTAAAGAAGGCTGCCCCTCAATGGAGCATTATCACACAGCTGGGAAGGTTACATAACCTCATTTCTCAAGTCAAGAATTTCAAGTGCCTACATGTATTCAGGGAAGCTAATTCGGTGGCTGATGCACTTTCAAAACACAGTCACAAGATAACCTCTCCACAGGTTTACTTCAACATCCAATAAATGCTTAAAGAAGCAAGATCATACTATCACCTTGACTTGTTGCAGATGCCTAGTTTCAGAAGGAAGAAGACCAAAACAATTAAGGAACCTCCTTGATAATTCTCACTTCTTTTCAACTTTTTAATAGATTAGTTTAGTTATAGGCTTTCTTGTAAAGAGAGAGTCTCCCTAGTTTATGTTTTCTAAATATATTGTATGGAGAGGAGTCCTCTCATTAGTACTTAGTATTTTGATTACATCCTTTTGTAAGGGGAAGAGTTGACTTCCTTTAGGAAGTTGATTCCGAACCATCTTAGGTAGGAGGTAAGGT